CATGATTTCCCAATAGCTTCTTCCAGGTCTGACACAACTATGAGATACGTGAATCATCACTTTCTAATATGGGTCATATCACAAAGTCTAGGGCCAAATTGACTTGTCAAAAAATCCACAGAAATGTCTTTTACACAAGTTCTACATCAAATTGTCTATTTGTGTGAGAGCTTCATCTTGAATGAAGACATAAATTCTAAATGTGGCTAAATCAGGGCAGTAAATTGCTATTCACTTTCACTCTTTCATCAATAAACAAAGGTGATTTTAAACCATAGGAAGCAACAGCAGCCTCAACCATGATACCAGTTGGTTTCTGACACTTGAAATAGGTTCTGACATTTTCAGGAATGTTGCATAAGCCCTATTGGTTTATCAGTGTCTCCATTGTGAAAAAATTTCTTGTTCAACCAAGCAAAAAGTTTGCCTTGACCATGCTACATCTCCAACATTTTCTTCCCTCTACCAAGCCATTTTTGCTTGGAGAACAGGTACTGTTATTGAATCTTGTATGATTCTAGACCTAAAACCTCTTTCATGACATATCCAAAATACCCAGCTTTTTTGTCATCTTCCTCATGCTTCAGTTCAGTTCATAGCAGGAGTATCAATGATACTCCTGCTATGAACTAAACAGTTTCTTCCTTGAATTAGACTTGGTGAGGCTGTTTGCGCCTTTTGAAACATTTTCCACATATTAAAAACAGTTTTTCTATGAATATTCAACTGCTTTATCACCTCACAATGCTTCATTGCCAGTCATTTTCAATGTGACAATTTGATCACATTTTGTTTAAACTGCCATATTTAATTAAACACTAAAGAATAAAATAATGTTAGGAAACCTTATGCAAAATTTGAAACTATTTTTACGAATAGGTATGTTTCAATTTATGTTTAAGCAATGTGTAAATATTTGTGCTCAAAATTCTATCTGCTATTAGTTTATTAAGCTGCTATACCATAGACTAGATTTTAACTGTCTTTTCTTCTTAATCAATACACATACAATTTTTAATTCAGTTAAGGAAGAGATAGTTTAGGCTAAAAAGGCAGAATTAGGTATCAGTGGATAGAAATCAAGAAAAAATTATTATCATCATATGATGTTTAGAGAGATTTTCTGTTTAAGCTGGCATGTGATTTACCAAACTGTAATTTTTACAAATAGAAACAAATCAAATGGAGATAAAGATAGCACAAAAATTGAACTTTATGTATTATCACCAACAAGTAGGCCTTATAAGAAAATATAATTGTTACTAATAACTTAAAGCCCTCCAAAGTCTTTCTTGTACAAAGAGAACAATTAAATTTTCCATTAATACTTATCAAATCTATGCATTTCCTCTATCAGAACTATTTGTATCGTTTTCATTAATCATTATTAGACTGCATGTGAAAAGAAATGTCAGCATAAGCAAGTTGAAAAGTGTTGTATATTGATGAAGTAGATTGGATAAATGCTTGATTATAAAATGGTTAAGAAAAATACTTAATCTTTTTACCAATGTGTAACACTACTAAAATAGTTTTAGATGGTATCTTTAATCTTTATGTTTTCAGAGATTCAAAATCATTACGTTTAAAAATAATTTGATATGGTCAGCAACATTCATGGCTTTTTGTATCTTTGCAATGTTAATGTCATGCGTATAGCCCTTAAATTCCTATTAAAAAAAAACTGAGTTGATGAACGGTACACATCAACACTCGATTCATATCCTGATCAAAGTCAGAATTTTATAAGTTCAAATATTCAAAAAGTGTCATGAAGCAAAGGATCCATCAATAATAAAAAATAAATCAGCAATAAAAAGAATATAGAAAAAAAATAATTAAAATTTATTCAAACTTTTCCATATAAAACATATAAAATACAAACAAAATGTACAGGCAATCATGTATAAAAATAGCTGCCAAAAAGGAGAGAAATTACAAGATTTTGTTTTGTTAATTTATACAAGAATGAAAATGGTCTGTTGAATTTAATAAACTATAGAGATGCTGCGATTAAAGAATAATAAAGATTGGAAGTAACTGAATAGAAACAGTACTTGAGTTGTATTTGGTTATTATTGATAAAGAAAATTAGAGAGTTCTCTAGTGAAACTAGAAATATAGTGTGTTGTAAAGTAGCATATAAAAATGCTCACATGTTAATACTCAACAACTATAGGCTTCCTGACTCTGCACTTACCCAATGATTTTCCAATATTCTAAGTCGCAACAATTGAGCCAAGCAATAGGAAAAGGAAACTTTGTAGGTTCCAAAAGCTTCACTTGATCACTAAATTGCTGACCCAGGTTTTATAAATTTTATTTCCCATATAAATTTTAACATTAAGATTAAGTCTCTTTAAAAAAATAAATAAATAATGATAGCAAAACTATATAGAAGAATATGTGAATTTTTACCTATTTACATCTGGATAATGCATCAATGAAATAAATAATAATCTCCACCAAATGAAAAATATGGATTTGATAAGTATTGAATGTCTATAATCTATAAGGGGAGTCATGTATATCTACAAATGAAAAATAAATAACTAAGTTAAAATGTTATGCATGAGGTTACCCTTTCAGTATTATGTTAAAACTTACAAAAAAGTAAATAAACATAGAAAATAATTTGAAAATTAGAAGTATAAAAATATACCAGATGTAAAAAAAAAAGTGATGAACTTATTGCGTCAAATAATGGCAGTGTGTTATATACATAATAGACATGTAAAAAATTCCAGTCATGTACTTTAAACATTGTTGTAATAATAAACACCTTCAGTGGAAAGTATTTAATAATTTTGATAATTAAATATCCTAAAACAAGAATATGAAATTATATATATCTGTAAAACAAATGGTATGATGTTTTATAATAAAAAAATTTTTAAATACAGGAAGTTAACAGGGAAAGAGAAAACGGTCCAAAAACAAACACAAAATCTGTAGACATTAAAAAAATGTTCTATTTTGACAGGTTAGAACAAGCTTGCTGTTGCAATATGGAAATAAAAACAGGAGACAAGATGATTATGTGTCAGTAATATTAAAGGCAAGCATGTCATCTGAAATTATCATTGGCCTTCACTGTTTAGATAAAGAAAATGCTATTCAACTTTTAAGTATATATATCTATAACAAGGGCAGCAATATCTAAAGTTTTGATAAGCAAACAAATCACCTATATGAGAAAGATAGAGTAAATGTCCAAAGGTAACATTAAATGTCTGAGATAATTACTCATACCATGTTTGCAATTCACCTAACCTTATCATGGCTATGTATAACAGGTTATTCAAAATAGCATCCTCATTGTTGCTTGATTTTATAGCAATATTTTAGCTGTTGTATTATGACAAAAACAACAAAGATACAGATGCTATTTTGAATAACTTAATTTTTCATTTCACAATTTCAAACAATATATCTATATACTGTGGTCTATTAAGAGCAGTTACTTAAATCTAATAATTTCTTATGATGAAGTTAGCATTCATTTTTTTAATTTTCAAATTTTATGTATTTAAAAAGGTATACAATACTAGATATTTTTGTGATAGCTTTTTTTAAGTCATAAAATGAATGTTACCAGTATCTCAATTTCAATGTAATAAAAATGTTTACTTGAAGGAAAAAAAAAAAATTTTTTTTTTTTTAAAATATAAAATTAACACAAAATAGTAACTTTATTTTAGTCTTGTTTTTACTAAATCTTTAAATGTAGATTCTACAAAATGTAATTTTTGGCTCTGAAATATGTATATTCAGTAAAAAAGAAATTTTCATTATCAACAATACTTTTTGTTTAAGGTATACTCTTAAAATAGGATAACAATATAGCCTATTAAACAACTCACCTACAACCTTTTTTTTAAAATTAAAAAAACTTCATTTAAGCTTTTATAGTGATTGCAAATTAGGAATTAAATAATAGATTAGTATATACATAAATAATTATTCCAAATGTTCTTGATTTGTTATTCAAATCTTCACTAAATGAAGAAATTGAACTTTGTTTCATTTTTAGTTTTAAGAGAATGCCATGAGTGATTTAATTTTTGTATTTATTTGATCCTACTATATGGGAAAATACCAAAATTATTAAAAGTACAAAATCAAATGAAATTAAAAAGTTTTGGACAAGTTATTTACATATATTAAACAAAAATATATTTAAATTTAGAAGATTAAAAATCCTTTCAGGTTTAAATAATTTAAGATATTACAAATATTATATAATTTCAACCCATGTTCCTAAACCATATCTAAGACTTAATTGGATGGTTTTACACTTTGCCTACAACTTTTGGAGAATAACGTGGTAAAAAATATTTAGTTTTGAACGCTGCCTTATACATTAGTCAACCATAAAAGCACAGAAAATATGGCTTACATCAGCAATGATGAACTGAATAATGAATAAAAAGTTAATGATTCAAGAGAATGAACTGAGAAAAGAAATGAAACAAAAACAATAATTTCTGCTGCCATCACTATCTTTTGATTCATATAATCTATATTAAAAAGAAAAATAGAATCTTACATACAAGTAGTGTGTGTTATCTAAATGTATATATGTTCAGGAAATATCAGTTAAGATTGTGAATGACTTAAGATTACTATCAACACTAAGTTTTTAATTTTCACATCTAATGTTTGATAAAAATCAATAGATTTGGTTAAGAACAAAACCTAATTTTTAAAATGGATCATTTTATAATAACTGGATAAAAATAATACTAAATGAATCAAGTATAGATTCTTTTATTATAAACATAAAAAGATATCCTAGATATGTTTTGGTTAATAGGAGATAAGTGTTTATCTATTCTTATTTGATAATAAAACATGTAGTTTGTTCAGCAAAGTCTATAAAATGTATACTTGAATACTGTTGCAAGTAGTTTCCATTTTTACATAAGATGAATAAAATTCTTGTAAAATTTATAATTACCTTGTGTTAATAAGTTAAAATATAGCTTAATATTTCTAGCTTAGAATAATTTATCTATAAAACAATTAACTGTAATAATTAGGCAGACTTTAAGGTAAAAAATATCAGAGTCATTTGAAAGAGAGAATTTAGCAACTGGCTGGAGCTGAGAAAAGATTTTGAAAATGTAGACCATCAAAAATTACATTAAAATGTTATAAAGATTGTAAACATATCAAATTGAATGCTAGTTATTTGCATCACAAGATTCAAGTTTCTTAATTTATAAAATTCATAATGAATATGCAATGCTTGAAACTAATTTCTTATTATCTGTCGCAATCTGAAATGAAGTGAGTATATGCATAAATGATAAAAATGTAAAATTCTGAGAGCTTCAAACAAATCTTTTCCTTTAAGAATAAGAGTAATGGCCCCTTTTACTCAATCAACTATTATTGTTTTTGTTTATGACAAAAGGCTTGGCTTTGGTGTTTTTTAACAATATCATCAGGAGATGGTGTGGAAAAGTCAAATGGAACAATTCGGGCCAGTTTAGTCTCCTGACTGGAATTCATGCCACACATCTGTGTTCTATAAGAGAACTTGTGGTATTTATTTTTGCTCGTCATCTCAGTACATTTTACAGTTTTGGGATGATAAGAAACCACTCTGCCAAACAGAGATGCTGGTGCTTCATAAGTCGTTTTTAAATTGTGATAGTCACTACTAGCTTCATTGAGGAATGATGGGAGTAGAGACGATTTCTCAATTGTTTCTGTGTCTTTTTCCTTGCTTTGATTTGGCTGTTGCTGCTCAGTTTTATGTTTGCTTGATGGCCCTTTCCATAAATCTTCCAACTTGTTTATATTGTCACAGTTCAAGTCAATCTTGCTGTTGTTCACTTGACTAAAAAGTTCCCCTAATGACATAGGTTGGCAGTCTTTCTTGGGACTGTTATAAGAAATTGCAAAATCACTGTTTTCACTGTTAGTCAATTCAATTGGACAGTTCTTTTTTTGATTATCCAAATGATCTTTAAAAAAGGAATGTTCACTTTCATTTATATCAACATCAATAGAATTTTTACTTGGATTCATATTGGAAGATTTTTTACCAATTACCTGTGAAGTATCTTCAAGCCTTATTTTACAAAGATCTGCTAATGAGAAATTCTTATGGTTTTGAAAAGATGAAATACCAGAACATAAATGTGGTTTTGTGAGATCATCTAAGGTGGCTTTATCAGTAGCTATCATTTTCTCTCCACTCCCTTCATTTCTTGATTCTTTAGCAGAATTTAATGATTGAAAACTATCAAATCTTTTGTCATTCTGATCAGAAAAATTGAAACTTTTTCCAAAGCAATGATTTGTGAGATCAATTAAAGGCTTGCTGCTAGAATTTGTTAAAGGCAATTTTTTTTGTTTATTTGGACAGGAAGAGTTTATCTGAGATAAAGAACCCCCAATTGCTGAAAGCTGTTCATTTAAATTTGATCTAATCTGTTGCTTTGCCAGATCAGCTAAAGTCATTGTGTTAAAATTCTTAAAATTGCTTTGATTAGCAGAACATCCTTCACATTTCCCTATAATATATTCCTGACTATTATTAGGTCTTTTGTGCCTTTGCTGAAAAATATCTGCTAAAGATGATTTAAATGAATTTTCCTTGGCAAATGGAGAGCCTTTACTATGATAATTAGCCTTTAAGTTACTTTGATTTTGCAGTGGACTTTGAGAAATCTTTTCACAAAGGGATGGCTGAGGAGAAGTAGAGAGGTCATCATTATAGGTTGAAACCAAACTTGCAGATTCTTCCATCTTTTGTTTATTTATATTAGCCATTGCAAACAGTTTCAAAAGTTCACATTTGTCAGATTTAGGTGTCGGAAATTTGCTAGCAGACAAAGCAGAAATTGTCTTCACAGAATTTAATCTCATATCATTACAACTATTATTTGCTAACAAGCTCTCATGATTGAGTGTAATATTTAGTTCAGAACTTTCCTTGGATTTACACACCAGACTTTCATTATTATCAGGGAAGCATATTTGCTCAACTCCTGCATCATCATCATCAATAGACTGAAGCTCAGTATCAACTTCTAAATCATTGTCATCACTGCTTTCAGTAGATGGAGCAACATTTTCACTGGATGTACTGTCAGATTTCAAGTGTCGCATTATTTGTATTTTGTTAAAGCCAGGAGAATTTCCATTTTGTTCTGAAAGAAAACATACTTGGTCCTCAGTATCCCCAGAGTTGAGACTGCTGTAGGAAGAGCACTCTTCTTCCCCAACACTGTTGTATTCTTGATAGAGTTTATGATGTGGCACATCCACAATTAAACTACATTTTGAAATATCTCTTCCATAATCCTCCTCCTCCTCATCATCATCATATTGAGAGGAAAGAGTACTAAATTGAGCATATAAATCTAAAGGAAATTCTTACCTTACGAAAGCCAAAAATTAATATGAAGGAGCCAGCAAACCAATATGTTGGTAGCATATTTTCAAATAGCACAAGTTGTGGGGGAGATGAAGAACATGAAAGAGAGGAAGTAAACAAAGGCTCTTTGTTAGCATATCATTAATCAAATGTCATATACATATGGCACTGACACTCACATAGCATCAACACAAAATAATAAAAAGAACTGATTTCACTTTTTAGAAAATTAAGACTATAATATAGGAGAAAAGGAATTGAGCAATGGTATTTCTTTTTTTTTTTAGTCAAAAGGGAAAGTCACTTTATGAATGCAGATTTTTTTGTAAATTACTAAACTGATACATGGAAGCTGTAAGGTTTCAATAAATAGACATAATATAAGCATTTTCAAAATGTAAATATTCATACTATTCAATTATTTCAGATTATATAAATACACAAACTTTATTAAAATGACTACAATGATTTCATACTTTATTTACAAACAGTTAATAGTGACATTAAACATACATATCAGTTGATATTGTTTAACCAAATTTGAAATAACAAAAATCAAATTATGACAAAAATTCCCATCATTAAATCAAATGTAAACAGTACTCCAAACCAGTAGATGGATATGATCTTGCTCATCATAAAGCTAAAAATTTGAATATTCTCACACACATTTAAAGACTAAAACTAGTACTTGAAACATTTGCCATGTAATTAATCTCAAATCATGCTTGTCTATAAATAATTTTTTCAAAATGACAAGGTTAGAATTTTGTTTTATATAATTATGTAAACAAGAGCAAATCCAAGCCATAACCACAAAAATAGCATGCCACCCATATGAAATTTCATATAAATGTGATATATAAAGCAGAAGGTGAGAAAATGCATATTAACAGGAAACATTTTTTAAATGCTTGAAATCTTTTAAAAAAATATTCAAAATAGTTTTGCAACAAATTTAATCTATTTTTGTATATGTAATTGCCATATAAATTAGTAATTCCAGAAAAATACAAAATATGATAACAATTAAACAATATCATTCATAATATAAATTATTAATTTTCATGATCTAGATTTCTTATCCATACTTTTCAGAAGTTAATTGAAATTCAATAATGTGAAGGCAAGAATTGTACCATGAAAAATTCTATATAGGGAATAATTTATTACATGAAGAATGAGATATAATCAAGTCATCAACTATCAATCACTGATGAGGCACAAGATTGTACAGGTAATGTTTGAATGTAGGCAATTCATTCAAAAGACTTTTGCAATAGAAATATAAAGAAAAAAAAAGATATTCTGTTTGTCTCAAATTTAAAGGTAACATCAGGATTGCTTAAATGATGTTTATGTAATTCAATAAAAATTACTAAACAGGAAAAAAATTATTTCAATCAATGAATGCATCTTTTTTTTTAATAGTTATATTCTTGACTTGTTAAGTCATAAAAACTTAATAGTTTGGACATCTTCTGCCACTCCAGAAAGGGCTAATGAAAAACTATTTAGCTACATTTTAGTGAATAGAAAGCAAAAATCAGGAGTGTGGAGAAAAGGAATCTTTGCCTATTAATTTTGAGAGCAACACCTGCTTCATCAGAAAATTTTCTAGTTAATACAGGAACCATTATACAAAATGTAGTTTCAAGTGTGTGTGTGTGTGTGGGGGGTGAACTCCAAAAGAATTCAGAAAGTAAGTTTTAAGAAACGATGCTTATAAATGCCAAATAAATAATTACATCAAATATATCTCATTTTCTTTTCACAACCAACAAAAATATTTGTAATTGGGTTATCTGATATTTAGTCAACATGCTTATTTGCTCAGTGCTAATACAAAATTTCATTCTTCTCTAAAGAAACAAAAAATATTGAATATATATTTTTTAAAAGCCAACCAACCAACAAAAGATTGCAAATATGAATTTGTATAAAATTTTCATAATGAAAATTTTTAAATTTTCACATCTCATTCATTTTATAAAATGTTCACTTCTTAAATAAACTTGATAAAAATGAATGAGATATACATAACAAGACTTGAATGGTAAAACTGAATTATTTACACTTTATTTAATATTATTTTAATGTTTTATTTTTTCAGATCTTAAATTAAAATAATTAAATAAAAACAAAATTACAAATGTTCAGAATATTTTTTGTTAAGATTTAGTTTAGCAAACTACTATATTTTTACCCCCCACCCCATATAGTTTGATCTGCTTTAACTCCATTTCTTTGTGAAATTTTTCATTTAGGAAAAATAAATTTGAAGTGCCTAGGTGAATGTAAAATAGTAATTGAATTTACAATGGCTGCAACAAGCATAACTGGACATTTATTTTGTATCTGCCTTTATGACAACTGAAGTTCTATTTACAGTGTAAATGTTAAACTGCGTGAATCCTGAGGAGAAATTAGGCAAGTTTATACCTATATAGTTATTGTGCAACAGTTACTGTCACTTCTCCAGTCTTTTGTCCCATGCAACACTGGGAAATTTTGCTAGTAAGACAAAAAGATATTAATTTCTTAGCTGTTTACAATCAAAATGTCACTGAAATTTATAATATTCTTTGTAGAAGTAAAGGTGGAATGGAATAAACAGTCAGTTTTTGAGATCAAATTCAGTGAAAAAATTTTTAAATTTGGAGCTGTCTTTTTCAGTTTATAAAAATAAAAAAGTAATATCAGAAGGGAGCTAAAAGATGAATTCTTTAAGTTTCTTGAAAAAAAAAAAAAAAAAAAAAAAAAAAAAAGAGGTTTGATTATTGTCACACACTTGCATAAAACTAATGATGGTCCTTATAAAATAGTAGTGCTATAATTTAAGAAACTAGCTGAGTATGCATCCTACAGACTGAGAAAAGTTGCCATAGAAGTTCTCTTAATGTTTTTTATTAATAATAAAAAAATAATTCAATAACAGATTATATATATATATATTTAATTAACTTTTTCATATTTTTATTAATCATAGTGTTAAGATTAATTCAACAGATTTATATCACTTGTTGAAATAATTTTTTTTAATTAAATACATCAAAATTATCTATTCTATTTATCTCTTTCAATTAAATCCAGTTAAAATTAAAATTTCGTATATTTAACACGGCTGTTTTAAACCCTTGTTTTTGTCATATAGGAAAATCCAACATGGCGCGTAAACGAAATATTCGGCAAAAAAATCTCATTCGTCAGTAACATTTTAAACACCTCATAGAATGTCAAGTTCTTAAAGAAAACCTATGCCAAAGTGTTTTCCTCACAGCTGTTTGAGGTTTCCTATAGTCCCACTGAACTTAAATAAAGTCAATTCAGGTTTCCTATGGTAAAAATTGTCTTTCCCAAGTGAAAATCATCACAAAAATGGCAAAAGTCATTTTGTCACAGCTTATTTTCTCTCAAAAAATGGATTTTCATAATTTTATAGGGGTAAAATATTGAAAAATGACCGTTTTATCATCATCTAAACAAATATCAAGGAAACTTTTGATCCGAACCCCATGAAACTAGGTATTTTCTGAAAGCAAAGGATATATTCTTTCATTTAAAAGTAAAATTAGCTGGTGTAAATGACTCAAAATTTTTTTCAATGGGTAAAATGTGAAAAAAATAGTGAAAATTTTGCATTTTTTTCTTGTTCTAAACAAATATTTCCCCCATTAATAGGAAATTATCATTTTTTTTCTTCTTTTTTTTTTTTTGAAAATCAGAAAGCCTAAATCATAATCAAACTATTTCAGGCATAAAATTGAGAGTTTTGAAGGAAATCAACATTCCTAGGTGAACAATAAATGCGACAAAATCCATTGTTAATTTACAATTATATGACTGCCAAGGGTTAAAAAAAAAATTGACACCCAGCCACGGAAATCTTTAGTAAAAGGCAAGAGATTTATCTGCAATTCCTAACCACCAGAAACCAAACTTTTTTTTTTGTTTTTTTTCCAAAAAATAGCGATAAGGAAAATTAAACGTAATTGACGTCTAGGTCAAAGGTCAGTCAGCTAGCCAGCCAGCAATAAACGGCAAACCTTAGAACAAGTTGTAATAAAACCCACCACTCCCAGATAAAAGCAAAGAGTGAAAAAAAAAAAAAAAAGGGTTCACAATGACTAGGGCTTGATATAACCTATGTTTGAACAATAGCTTGATGAGTTTTGTTTTGTTTTTACCACCCGTGACCCGGGTGATGACAACAACACTTTAGCAGACGACATTGTTTTTTTTTTTCGCCGCATATCTTTCGTATTTCCCATCGCCAGCCCATTTAGCCGTTCTTTTTATTCAATGATGTTCATGCCAAATGAAAGAAAAGGAATGAATTTTGAAGGATGTTTTTTGAAGCAAAATAAATATTTTTTCATTAAAAAAATTTTTCTCAGAAAATTGGGCATAATTTCTTAATGCTAACCCCCAGTGACATTTTCCACAGCCAAATTGAAGATTAATTACCAGTGAATAATTCCATGTGCAAACAATAGCCGTCTGGATGTTGCCCTAAAAGGGCCAGAAGCTTACTAATTGATCGAAAACCTGTTGCGCATAATTGTATTTTTCACGGTCAGTTTCCATTATTTCATCTTGATATTATCATTTTCGGACAGCCAAGTCATCAAGGATTCAGGACACGGATGTTTAAAACCCTTGTTTTTGTCATATAGGAAAATCCAACATGGCGCGTAAACGAAATATTCGGCAAAAAAATCTCATTCGTCAGTAACATTTTAAACACTTCATAGAATGTCAAGTTCTTAAAGAAAACCTATGCCAAAGTGTTATTATTCACTGGTAATTAATCTTCAATTTGGCTGTGGAAAATGTCACTCGGCGGTTAGCATTAAGAAATTATGCCCAATTTTCTGAGAAAAATCCCCTTTTTTTAATGAAAAAATATTTATTTTCGCTTCAAAATAACATCCTTCAAAATTCATTCCTTTCTCTTTCATTTGGCATGAACATCATTGAATAAAAAGAATGGCTAAA